GGCAGGGGTGTCGCGGGGGCCTAGGGGGGTCACCCCCCCCCTCGCCCCGCCCCTGCTGCTCCTGCTGCTCCTGCTGCTCTGCAGCGCCGTCGTCCTCTGCTGCAGACGACGGAGACCAGACAGTAGGCACTTTTCCCTCTTCTTTAAACTGCTGCGGGTGAAATAAATGTCAGCCTCCTGCTCTTCTTCACACACACAGAGCTGTGATTAAAGTATAATGAAGAAGACAGGTTGTTACGCCACCTGCTGGCCTTGGCCAAGGGCACACAGGGGTTTTTTGTTTTTTTTTCTGACAAAAGGTAGAACATTAGTTGTCAGCACAAAGCTTTACTTTTCAGAAAACAGTAGCAGCAGAGTGTGTGTACTCTGTGTACTCTGTGTGTACTGTGTGTACTCTGTGTACTCTGTGTGTACTGTGTGTACTCTGTGTACTCTGTGTACTGCAGTCACACAGAAATCTAAACCAAGAACATCTGAGTGAAAACAGCATCAACTGAGACTCTGTGTTTTAAAGTATTGACGGCTGACAGAGACGGTTTATTATTGGTAAATGATTCATGACTCCTCCACCTCCCCCACCTCCACCCACACCCACTAAACACATACACTATATGTAAAGATGCAGCTGATGCAGAGGCTCAAACGATTCCAGAGGAAAAAGGAACAAATGTAACCTGTCGTTCCAGAATCACTGGATTAAAAACAGGAAGTTGAAAACAGAAGCAACTGTGGTGAAGATTCTAGAAGAGCAGACACTGAAAATGAGTGACAGGAAACCAGCAGCTGAAATCACCCTGGTTGATAGACACCAGGTGTGTGTGTGTGTGTGTGTGTACCAGGGAGACAGGTGGTCATCACAGCAGAACCACGGCCAGAAAAAAAAGAAAAATCTCTTTATATGAGAAAAAACCCTCTTAGTTTGTTTATTCAATATCCAGTGCTTTTGATATGCAGTGGGTTTTTTTCTAAATACCAAAAAATCACTTTTGTTGTTTTAAAACATGCTTTAAAGAGACATTACTTTGAGTTGATTACAAGTTAAATGTGTAATTTAAATGACAAAAAAACAAAACAAACACAAATGATTAGAGTCTAAAATATATTTAGTTTGACTAAAGAATCAGCTCCAACCAATGACAGTTTCTCGTGTGACTCTATGATGAAGTCGCTGCAGAGTCGAGACACAAGTGTCTGAAACTACACTCAGTACACAGTGTACTGCAGTTTTACTGCGTCGCTCTCAGAGCCATCCAGGAATATTTGTGATGAAGCTGAACGACTTGTCACAACCCCCGAGCGGAGAAGGTGATTCATCGGTGAGAGCCGGCGGTAAAGTTGTGTCATTAAACCGTCTGCTCAGGGATGTCGCAGAGAAGCTTCTGCACTAGAGCGCCACCTGTAATGACACTACTGGACAGTCCCAGAGGGTCACATGGGACTTTGAGTTGTTGTTGCTCTATTTTGTTTTCTCCAAGATGCATTAATATGAATTTTATACCATGTCCACAAGGGAGCGCTGGTGGGGTTTTTATTTTAGTGGGTTGAAAAAACGTCATGTTAATAAACAATAAAATAAACAATAATAAAATAAAGTTCCCAGTTCTGTTCCTGGACTTTTCACCAGGAGGCGACAGAATCGCCGCAGCGTCGCGACCACTGGGATTCCACAAGGAGCTGAACTTAGTCCAGTAGAGTTAACATAGAGTTAGAGTTAGTTCTAATTATAATTATAATAATAACTATTATTATTATTACAGAACATGGGTTATTAGCTTGAACCGTTGCCCAGGAGGTAAGATTCCGTGACTTCCTTCCAAACCTCCATCTCAGTGCAGTAATGTACGACTCAACACTATTGGAAAAAAGAAAAAAAAAGAAAGAAAAAAAAAAAAAGAGAAGAGAGACTGTAACCCAGTCATCACCAAAGACCTGGGGCAGCAGGAGAGTGGGCATTAAAAATATAATGACAGAGGCAGGTTTTATTACCCCTGGGACAAACACCATCTGCACCGTCGTTCCGCTCCGACGTCTCTGCTGTGGCCAGGACGACTTTTCAGCCAAGGCGACAATAATCCCATGATGCATCAGTCATTAACGGCCGACTCCGACTTTCACTGACTCGACCTGCAGACTGACCGCGGGCCGTGATGTCCAGAGCTAATAAACACTGGAACACCACGTTACACTGATGTAGACACATGTAGTAGTACTGTAGTAGTACTGTAGTAGTACTGTAGTAGTACTGCAGTAGTGTCACTGCACTGATGACCAAACGTTCTGGTGTCTTTCAGGACCGTCTGGACCCGAGGACATGTGGTGAGATAAAAACTCTTTCTTTAAATCCAGTGAATTTTGGTCAGTGATACTGCGACCTGATTGGCTCCAATAACAAATGCTCTTTCATGGCTTCGTCATTTACATCTTGAAGTTTAAACGACACCCGTCGGTGATGACTTTTTACGACATCTGAATGAAAGAGAATCTTCATTGTTTTGTGGTTTCAGCTGATAAACATTTAATGGTTTTTCCTTTCAGCGTAACTCAGTTTCTGACCGTGTTTTACTGCAGGACTGAGTCTGATCAAACGCAGCGTGAAACTGTCATCAATCATCAAGTTGATGGTTTTTATTTGACCGTTTGTTTGCGTGCGTTTTCAGGTTCAGCCGATCGGTGACGGAGGGACGTAAAGTCGATGACGTCACCAGAGCGAGGACCAATCTGGGATTCTCTACAGACGGGCCCACGGGTGAGGAGGCAACTGCAACATTTTACTGCCCCGAATTTAACCCATTTAATAACAACAGCACACAATAATACACAGTACACAGTACTACACAAAGGTTACCATGGTAATTGTACTACAGGGTGTAATGAGACTGTTGTCATCACCAGGAGTCACGGGTTTGTTTGGTTAAACAGAAAGGTAGAGTCGGGGAGGAGGCACAGCAGGTTAGGGCGATAAAGGACTGAGACGGCGTTGAATGCGTGCGTGAAGAAGCTAACGAAGGAGGACTGAACTAGCTTGATGCTGTTTTACCCCACAGATGCAGATTACAATGACGTTGTGGTGGAAATTCGTAGAAAGATGGAGAGTGTTTACAAGGTAAGACGACGTCCAGGAAATGTCTGCTCACGGGGTCACGACCTCGCGGTCAAACAAGAGGTTAATTATGAAGATGTGTCAAAATCAGGCGACACGTAGAGATGATGATACTGAAGTTAGAAAAAAAAACCAGAACCAGAACAGAGAGAGAGGGGGGGGGGGACACACAGACAAACGGGGGGCAGTCGGGGGGGGTCGGGGGGGGGGGGGGGGGGGGGGGGGAGGGTAGTTGAATGGTGACAGACAGAACGCTTCAGCATCGACGAAGCTGAATAATACATCCAGTCATTCTGCACCTCCTCCTCCTCCTCCTCCTCCTCCGCCCCCCGTGCCCTCCATGAGGGGAGCTGTAGTGCTGCACTGCCTCACCCTCAGCTGCCTCACCCTCAGCTGCCTCACCCTCAGCTGCCTCACCCTCAGCTGCCTCACCCATCAGTTACATCTCCGCTCTGTGACCCAGGGCGTTGAAGTATTACTTTACTTTAACGCTGCTGACGTCTTTAAGGAACCGGCCAATCACATTCACCCTGGGTTTGTCTCCAGGTCCCTGACGTCGTCCACTCCAGGACCCCGTCCGTCCACAGCGAGGGTCACATCCAGGTGTGTCCGTCAGAGGAGAACGCCATGAACATCAGAAGAATCACCACAGTCTGAAGACGTGGACGAAAGAAAATCTCCAAATATTTGAACAGAAGGGGTCAAAGGTCGACGACCGTTTCATTTATATAAATATATGAAAATATTGCAGACGGTTTCATGTTCATTTTTATATATTTTTCTTGATCGTCACGTCCTGTTGTCGTTGATAAAGTCGTTGATAAAGTCTGATCTGATTCCTGTTTCTTGACTAAATAAAGTGTTGGTTTTTTATCATCATCAGACGGTGACGCCTCTATCTCCAGATCAGTGATAATCCAGTTTTCAGTTCCACGTCGTTCGTACTCCGTTCTCTCTTAAACTCTGTCAAATTTGACATTTGTTTCATCTTCTAAAAATACCTCTGAAAGGCTGCAGGGAACGTTTACGCTGCGTGAGGAGGAGCGCCAGGCGGAGAGAGACCGCGTAGTAATCCACAGAAATGTGTCTTGGCGTGAAGTGAGTGACAAAATATTTGCAATTCATAACAGTGAGAGACGGAGCCGTGATGGAGGTTCATGGTTCCACTGATGAAACCACGACAGAACGGGATCAAAATCACCAGAAGAAAAAAAACAGCTTCACAAATTCACAGATTCATAAATGAATCCTGTCAGATTTAACGTTTACTGAATGAATGTTCAGTGTTTTTATACTTTTTCATTGTACTGTAAATGAAACAAATATATGTGTTTATCAGTACTTCATTACTTCAAACATGTATTTACTCTGAGGAGGAGAACAACAACTGTGAACAAAAGAACACAAACTCACAAGTTCAAAGAAACAAACTCCAAAAACGTGACACAACACAAACAAACAAACAAACAATCAGACTCAAACAATGATCCACCAAGACAAGATGGAGGTGTATTTATACCCAGGGGACCAGGTGACACCAGTGAGACTAATCACTGAGACACAGGTGAGTGTGATGTCACTGACTCCGCCCTCCAGACCAGACAGGAAGTGGAATCACAGAGACACACCTGACAACAATACTTATATTATAATAAAATGTCAATTCTTCATCTTCTTAATTAAGCTGTGAAATGAATCACCTGAATTCAACAACATCAATAATCATCGTTTTAGTTTCACTGAAGCAGCTAAAAAAATGACATTCAAACAACCAGCAGGAGTAAAAAAAAAGAAAAAAAAAAAGAAAAGTTTCAGAGGAGGAGATCAACACTGAGATCTCCTCGCACCAGATGGTCGACACAGATCGTCACTGTGGAAATCACACCCCCCCCCCCCCCCCCCCCCCAGGGCGGGGCGGGGGGTCTATTAAACAGTAGCTGAATGAGAAGGTCTGTTACATGACTGACATTAATGCTTTGTTCTCAGACCCTCCCCTCACCCCCTCCCCTCACCCTCACCCCTCACCCCCCAGGGGTGAACTGGGTGTCAGGTAGACTTCACCAAGAGCTGCACTCATACTGAGCTGGGTTCAGTAAACAGAGTTAGTAAAAACATCTGGAAACACTG